TCGTAGAGATAATACAAAGTGACAGTAAAGATGTTAATTTTCTACGTATTAGATTATGTTGTAGGAACTTATTTTAATTGAAATGTTTGAAATTTATAACATTTGTTTATAACATTTGTTTACCTTATAATTTCATACTTCATTATGGTTGTTCTATTTTTGGTAAGATTTGATCGTTCACTAAAAATTTAATATTATGTAGTTTGAAAATCACTTATTGCATTTTAAAAAATATATATAGAGGGTGTAATATTTAATACGAATCCCTAAATTAATTTTTCCAAAGCCAGTCCTGTAATTTCTTAGTTTAGCTAATACCAGTCGAATGCTTGATAGTAGTGTACTGTATTATGCAAAAATTTAAAAAATCAAATGAGCCGTATAAACACTACAGTAAAATGAAATAAATGGTCAATTACACAAATCACCCTGTTAATTAATAAAGAAGAGGAGTTGACATTTTTTAGTGGCCACATGATATGCTCCCTGAGGGACTCTACATATGGTAGAAGTATGTAAAGTTCCTCATGACTCACCTTGTATATATATATATATATATATATATATATATATATATAATATATATATATATATATATATATATATATATATATATACTATCGATACTTGACTATGTTTCATATTCACAAAGACAAAGGGGAATAATTTTTACTGTTTTGAACATTATGTAGATACTTTTTAATTTTGTTGATTTTTGTTGGAATTATGTCAACATTAATTTATGACTTCATTGAATTAAGAATAGGAATCGAAGAGGAATATTAAAAAGTGTACCGTTAAGTGTTTTGCAATATAATTTGCTTATGCTTCGCTAAAATATGTACACGATTATTGCACCGGAAACTAACCAATACTAATCCGTCACTGTCTTCCCAAATATAATCTAAAGTCAAATCTAAATTTCAAATCAATCATACTAAAACGTCGAGCCAATTATCTTTACCGAAAATGTGTTGGAAATACTTTTAATATTAGCAACGTCAACACCACAACCTAAATTACAACCGACTTAAGATTTCCTACAAGAAATATAAATAAAATATTAGAATTTAAAAATAAAAATATATTTTTTTATAAATTGACATTTTTACGACCTTTACATTCATTTAGATTCTTTTTTAGTTACCTTTTCTATTTTTTTTATATACTTCCATGGTCTACTTCTCTCAAAAGATTTTGAAATTTTTCTCTCGAAAGATTTCAGCAGTCGCTTCAATCATAAAACTGTTCCATTCACTGATATTTAAAGCGCAAGACCATTTAGCATTCAGCCACATTAAGTCACAAGCTCCATTTTTCTGGTCGGTGAGGTGATACTTTGAATTAATTTAAGATTTATTTTATCCAATCCAATTGTTTAACTTTTGAGTAGGACGCAAGAGAAATTATCCTTAAAGTAGATTTAGCTGAGGTTGGTATTCTTTTGGAGATACGTGGAGAAACTGCTATCAGTCTCGATACTGTCATAAGGTGTAACATATTGAATACCATCCAACGATTTAAAAAGTCTTCTTACCATCAATTGTGTTGCTATTATGGTCAATATAGTCAAAAACAATCTGCGAAAAGGCATGAGGTAAAAACACATAATAAATAACAATCAGAATGCCCACCCTCAGATGCCGACTTTGAAATTTGTCATCACGCGATCGCCATATTTTAAAAGGAAACACAGAACTCGGATTGAGAAATTTGTGATAAGTTACGACAGAACCGTACGTTTATTTTTATATATCCTTGTCAAAATTTTCCACTTTTATTAAAGTTTTTTTCTACTTCTAGGACATGAGAGTACGATTTACTGGCAGAGCCGAGTTTTGTTTCCACAACCTCCAACCCTTTCCTTGGGAAACGGGTGGACATGTCTCAGAGTTTTATTGCAATATAAAAGTCGACATCTCATATTACCTCCAAGGTCCATAACCAGCCTTTAACCATCGAAAAGAAACATTAGCTTTAATTTGATATAAAAAACATACCTATACGTCATGAGCAGCATATTTTATTTAAAAAACTAGCGGACCCGAAAGATGTGAGGAGGTAGACAGAATCTGTCTACCTCCTCACAGCAAACAATGGTCGGGTTCTTACACCCGTACCATGACAAAAAATGTTTTAATTTTTTATTGTGTCTGTGAAGTCTAGTGTCGGTTTTTTGTATGTTTTTTTTTTAATTTTAACAACTAAGTAATTAAATAAAAAATCAATATTTCAACATATAAGGAAATGAGATCTCTCCATTGTAGTGGTATTTATAAATTGACCATAGCTCCGATGATGGCTTTATAAAGCCGAAAGGGCTCAGCTAGGAATTATTAAAAATATACACACTTCAAAAATACTTTTTTGCCTTTTCTTTTGACTTGTCATAAGTGTGTACAAAAAACATATCAGTCTTTTGATAAATAGATTTGGAATGTGGCAGTTTATTTCTTTAATTCTCCTGAACAGAACCGTCACCATGATGATAGGGCGGTGTGTGAGGGTCAGCTCGGGTGACCTAAGTATCTTCGCCTCGACAAACTTTGGCCACCCTTTTGGACCCACTAAAAACCCCGACTGGGATGTCTGCCAGAGGGCTTCAAACTAAGAGGGGAACTTAAGGTTCAAACCTGATTGAAAAATAATCTAAAGCGGTAGTGAAAACCTAAAGGTGACAAATATTTATAAAGTGGGTGCTTCAATGAAAAAACATAAAGATACGGGAACAGGCAACATACAATTGACCATGTGAGAAACATGGGTTTTCTAGATTATTACCACAAACACCTAATTATTTCCCCTGGGACTTATTTATGGTCATAGCAAGAGTAAGCCGCACTGGAAACTGTAGTCGTTTAAAATCAAATGGTATATTTTGTCAAATTGACAAAATATTTATATGGGAAAAGAAAAGCACTGTTTTAGGGTTTTCCCCGAAATTATTCGAATTTTTCATGCCGTAAAAACCATCTTGAGACTTCAAGGAACATTTAAAAAAAAGAATTGTTAAAGGCCGAATGACACTATGCATTTTCTTGTATCATTTCTTATATCGTTTCTGATATAACAAAAAAATGGATAGTGTCATACAAGCGTATAGTTTCTTATATCAGAAACGATACAAGAATTTGTGTCCGCTGCATTTTCTTGTACAAGAAATGCGCCAATTTGTGCGCAAAGTCGCAAAAACGTAAAACTTCTGTCATATTGGCGGCTGGAGGAGAACTTTGATATACAATTAGACCAAGCAGACATCAGAGAAAAGTGCCCACCAACAATAATCAAGATTAGAACATCAGTAGCCAAATTGAAAAACAATAAATCACAGGGATTGGATCAAATAGCATCGGAACTACTGAAAGTAGGAGGAGATGTTTTACTAAAAACAATACATAATCGCTCTAAAAATTCGTGATGAGTTTAAAGATTATTTCTATAAGAGAGTAGAATTTCAAGAGCATGCCATTCAAACACATAATTAAAAAAAAACAAATAAATTATTACAACCAAATTATTTATTATTTCTGTCCTCCATTACAGCCTGTTGAATATCTTCAAAAATTGTGGTTTCTGATTTAGTTTTAATATTGGGACATTTTATTTCTTTCATTTTTGCACCACAGTATTTTAAAAAATAATCAGTAGTATACGTCCTCAGTCCCCAGTAGCTTGGGGTCCTCTAAGGTACTGCAGTTCTATTTTTATAGGTGTCAAAATTTCGACCAATCATGTGCCAAATCACATACAATTTCCGATAAAAGAACTTGCATAGTGTCATTACGGGGCAAAAATGTACGTGCAAAAAACGATACAAGAAAACATAAATAACTTTCTATATCAGAAACGATATAAGAAATGATACGAGAAAATGCATAGTGTCATACGGCCTTAAGATTGGTCCGTGCGTTGTTGAGTTATGCGCTTATAAACACATTTTGCGATTCATTTTTATATTATAAATAAATGAACGAAATATTTGGTCACAAATTAATTACCATTAATTGAATTAAAACTATATGCGGCAACTTTTTGACTGGCAACCTGTTATTAAGTAATATAATATTCTATTCTCAAATGTATGTAAAATATGATTATCTATGTTATGAACGTAGTGATCTTGCTGTGGGATCTTTTACTATTCGCATTTGATGAGCCTTGATGTATTTATTTTTATTGGCTCAAATATCTCACTATTTTAATAAAATGATTGTGTCTTTTATCCGCTGCTGAAAGAATTCAGGTGAAGAAGATACCAACAACTATAAGACTATTTAGGCTAAAAAGAATTTTTGATTAAAATTTAATAAACAACTACTTCATTATTTTACCAAAACTCTAGGTTTTGCAAGAAAGTCGTTACATTTTTACTGCACACTGTACGCAGATACCTACTTTAAAACCCATGAATTTCCCACGAAATTATTCTCTATCTTATTTATGGTATTCTCACAATTACATGAAAATTAAAAAAATATGGATCTCCTGTTCAGAACATAATTTCATTTGATATTTGAATTTGTAAGTACGGCCATCTATTCACAAATAACTCATATAAAAAAAATAGAACTCACCAATAAAAGTCACACATATTTATGAAGAACTTTCCTTTAACTTAAAATGAGGGCGGTCGAAAAGTTACGAAGCTCGCATAATTATAAATGTAAAAAACACCAGGTATTAATAAAAGTTAGATATTTTAATGTAATGATATCACGATCATCTTTTTTAATGTTTTTATTCACATTCTTTCATTTACTTTGCTCTCCAAATGTATACAACCAACAACAACATAACCACCTCTCAATTTTCATATTTTAATTTTAATTTAGAAAAGTGTTACTCAATCTAAATTTATATTTAATTATTCTCTTTAAATTATAAATTTACGATTATACACTATCCTTGTTTAATATTTATAAACTGATTTTCAGTATTCTCTTAAAATTCTCAAATATCACATACGACGTTGGCAGTAATGATTTTAGTAGCGTTGACATGCGTTGACATATTGACATATGAAAGATTAAGTCAAAATTAAAAAGATGACTGGTTAATTTTTCAACAGAAGGGATATACATACTTTGTTTTTAATAAGTAGAACAAATAAGTGTAAAATGGTAAGAGAAACATCTCTTCAGTATTGTTTATATATAATTTATCTTTGCTTTATATTAGGGACAAAATCAATCTGGACCAGGAGGTGGTGACAAGAAGGAAGAAAAGGATAAAAAGAAAAAGTATGAGCCCCCCATTCCCACTCGTGTTGGAAAAAAGAAAAGGCGTACTAAGGGACCCGACACAGCTTTAAAACTACCAGCGGTTACTCCCCATACAAGATGCCGGTTGAAACTATTGAAGTTGGAAAGAATAAAGGATTATTTGCTTATGGAAGAAGAATTCATTCGAAACCAAGAAAGGCTGAAACCACAGGAAGAAAAAAATGAGGAGGAGAGATCCAAGGTTGATGATCTTAGAGGTAAATATTATTTAAATTGTTTTATCATGTGCCGCAGTGGCTATATTAGGCATTATAATCTTTCCAATTTTCTTTTCCTTAGAGATCAAAGAACATAGCTAATAGATTTGCTTTATTTTTATGGAATATAGACACTTCGCTGCCTGAGTATTACAAGGATGTATGTAACAAAATTCAAAAATCAGCAATTTTACTATAACAAGGTTCTATGTATCATAAGACACCCATAGAACTTTGAAAATCTATAATATATGCATGTAATCCTCTAAAATTAATCCAAAATCATTGATAAATGTTATGAAAATATGAAAAGAGTGCAACATAGTCCTATGTTAAACATACAACTTTGTTTTTCACAAAATTTTAGTGAACTTTCCAAGCCCAGAAGAACATGGTCCTATGTAGTATATAGAAATTTATTTTCTGATTATTACAAGCTTAATAGCAGTGAAAAAAGGATGTTTGTTTTAAACACAACTGAAATAAGTAGTCCACAGCGAAGAAGAAAAGGAAAAATGCCCAAACCTCAAAAAAACTAAAACCTTCAATTTCTTTATTTTAACTAATAACAAAATACAGGTTTTGCAAACAGTTTTACTGCGGAACACTAGGTATAAGTCAAAAACTTTATATACACTGTTTACAAAAATTCTACAGAAATGAACACAATTCGTCAAAGTGTCCAGGGAAAGCATAGAAAAAAGTTACATCTGATTAAACTGTCAATCCTGTTAAGAGAGCATATTAATATGTTCCATGTAAAAGAAAGCGATTATTGTAGGGCTGACACTAAAAGAAAATATGTAGAGGGCCTATCACTGCAAAACATGTACAATATGTACGAGGATTTCATAAAGGAGAAAGACTTGAATCTAGTAAAACTTAATGTTTATCGCAAAATATTTTGCACTGAATTAAATTATTCATTTAATAAACCTTCAAAAGATCTATGTGACCTCTGTGCTGAAACAGAGTGCCTGAAGAAAGAAAATACCCTTAATGAAGAAAAGAAAAAGGAATATGAAAAACACTTGCAAGAAAAATTTTAATGAGAGAAGAGAAAAAGACGGATATTGAAAATGGTAACACAGTACTGTGTTTTGACTTACAAAATGTATTATCATATCAAAAACATTTGGATATATACATATCCAAAAGGAGACATCAAAAATGTCTTTTATAAAAGTAAGCTAAATGTGTGTAACATAACAGCGCACCTTTCCATAAACCAGACTGTTTATTGTGCGATTTGGTCAAAGGCAATGCATGGTAGGGCTGGGAATGACATTGCCAGTGCTGTATACAAAATCCAGAAAAGGGTTGTAGAAAACTGTCCGTTATTGGAATATTTGAAGTTGGGTTCCACAAAATCGCAGTAGATTTATGAGTTTTGCTATTGCACATATTTTAAAATGAATATGAACTTGAAGAAAATTCAAACGAAATTTTCAGTACCTGGATGTTCCTGCATACAAGAGGTTGATTCAATTCAGTTCAGTGCAATTGAACGCAGTTTGAGAAAATATGAATATTTTTCTCCACTTTCGTTATTAAGAGTCCTTTTGGAAGTAAACACAAGAAAGCCTTACACAATACTTCAAATGAAAGACCCAGATTTTCTAGATTTTCCAACCTATTCATCAAAACTAAATTATACTGCAGTTCCATTTTCAAAGGTGCGTTCTTTAGAATTTACTACAGATTTTTATGACATTGGTTTCCGAATCTTTTTTTTTTTTAATATTCTTTTGTAGTAGACTTTCATCTATTATGTTTAAAACAAAAGCAAATATACTTTTTTGTATACCAAATCTAATGGTCAAAATATTCAAAGTCATTTTTCTCAGTTTCTACATTTTGTATCATACAACCTTGTAATTCTTAGGCAGCGACTTGTCTATTAAAATTAAGTGTATGCCTCTATAATATTAATTTATTTAATAAATAGATCTAATAGAACTAATCTGCTGCTGAAGATAACAGTCAAATATAGTATCAAATGAAATATACTAAGAGAATAAAAATCATTGTACAAACATCTGTAAGTGAAGCAGAATTCATTGATGTAAATGTCATCTCCAAAGACATTGTTCCATCTCACTAGTATCAAAAGCTTTATTTATGTAAAGCATTTTTTGCATTAACTACCAAATTATAATTGTTACTCATTCCAAATATGTAGCTGTTATTGATTGAAAAGGTTTTTAGGTACATTGTGTTATATATTTTTTATATAGTTGGTGCAAACTCAGCTCTTTAGTTCCTGTTAGATACTTGTGCACTTGATTATATACCTTATAGGATACTATAATTTTTTTTCTGGATATTGTCTCTGCTCTTTTCGTTTTTCAATGAGGTGTTCTTTACCACCAAAGTTTATTTATGTGAATACTTTAAATGTTGATGCTCTTGATCTTTCTACTATACTCTTTGTACATATGTCAAGTTTAGGTAGGGGACTGCTATATATCGTATTTGACTTATTGATTCATTTTTAGAGAAGCAATGAATTTACTAATACGATATCAATCAGTTCTGTGCATATTGGCCAATATCACTTCATAGCTCTGATTTAGTAGTATATTTTCCAAAAAACCAGTAGTCTTGATTGGTCCCTCCTATGAATGTATTATATACTTGAGGTTAAGAAATAAATGTTTTCCTTTGAGCTTGTGATTTCATCAACTCGTTTGTGTGAGAGGTTCTTTATTATCAAGATTCGATACTATAGTAACACAATTATTATTGTTCCATTCTGTGAACAATATTTTCCCATTTACATCAAATCGAAAATTATTATTCAAGAGCTTCTTTACCGGGGGGCTATATACCTTACCTCGCAAAGCAGATCATTAGGTTTTTCAATAAACCACTTTTCACTTCTTCTTCTTCAAGTTCCACTCCTATCGGAGATTGGATATCATTCTGGCAATTATAATTTTGTTGGTTACACACCTGAATAGTTCAATTGAACTGCATCCAAACCATTCACGGAGATTGCGTATCCACGAGATTTTATGTCTTCCTACGCTTCTACCTTTGATTATACCCTGCATTATATTCCTTAGTAGTTCATACTTTTCACCTCTTATGATGTGCCCCAAGTATTCCAATTTCCTGATTTTTATGGAATTTAAAACTTTGCATTGTTTTCATAGTTGTTTGAGAACTTTTGTTTTGCGATCCATCCATGATATTTTCAAAATACGTCGGTAACACCACATGTAGAATGCTTCTAGGTTTTTAATATTGGATTTTTCAAGTGTCCAAGCTTCAACTCCATACAAAAGGGTAGAGAAAATATAACATCGAAGCATTCTTATCTGGAGCGATATATTGATATCGCGACTACAAAAAAGTTTTCTCATTCTAAGAAGAATGTTGCGTTTCGATTTAATTTGAGTCTCTTACCACTCCCTGACACGTGTTTCTGGGTCTACCCGTCATCAGGAGTTTTTTCTCATTTTCTCATTCTATTAAAAGATGACCGTGCAATTTCAATATGGCATCTTATTTCTTTTGTCTGATCAGTATCTTCTGTGATCCATGCTCCAAGGTATTTGTATGAAGATATTTGTTCAATTTCTGTATTATCTAGTGCTAGCTTAACTTTGATGTTTTGTGCTTTTGTAAATACCATGAACTTGGTTTTCTTCAAATTTATTTTTAGTCCATAATCGTTGCAATATATATTTAGTTGTTCAGCAAGGTGTTGCAGTTCTTCTAGTGTTCCTGCCAGAAGGACGGTGTCGTTAGCATATCTAATATTATTTAGTGGCTCACCGTTTATTATAAGGCCCTCACTGATCTCGGCAAGCGCTAATTCTGAGATGGCTTCACAGTATAAATTAAATAACAAGGGTGATAAAATACACCCTTGGCGGACCCCACGGCGAATCTGAATATCCTCGGTCAGTTCGTTTTCAACTTTCACTTTTGCTGTTTGGTTCCAATAGAGGTTATAGATGATTCTAATGTCTCTACTGTCTATGTTTTTATTCAATAAAATTTCTTTAAGCCGATTATGCTGTACTCTGTCAAATGCCTTCTCAAAATCAATGAAACAGGCAACCACTTACTGCAAACAGTGCATCTCGTGTTCCCAGTCCTTTCCTAAATCCCATTCGTGTATTACTTATGCCTTCATCTAATTTCTTATGTATTCTATTGTGAATTACTTTTAAAAACAATTTTAAGACATGACTCATTGGCTTTTTTGGGAAGCAGTATGAATGTTGATTGGAGCCATTCTTTAGGTATTATACCTGTTCTATATATGGTATTGAATAGATCCAGAAGATCAATAGATTCAGTATTCACAATTTTAAGTAATTCGATAGAAACTTCATCAGGCCCGGGAGATTTACAACCTTTAGCTTGTTTCATTGCATATTCAAGTTCTTCTTGTATAATGTCAGGCGCAGTATCATCCTTAAATTCTTTTGGTGCTTCTGTTCTCTCTTTGTCTTCAAAAAGTTGTGCTATATATTGTGTCCATCTCTGCATTTTTTGGTTTATATCTGTTATAAGTGCACCACTTTCATCTCTTGGTTGCCTAGTTTGAAGTGTTTTTCTCATTCCTGTTAATTCTCTAATTCTTTTATGCATGTTAAAAAAGTCATATTTTTTCTCAATTTCTTCTAGTTTTTGGCACTGCTCATGTAACATTCTCTTCTTAGCTTCTTTTATTCTCTTTTTAATTACTTGATGAGTGTCATTATGTTTAATTAACTTTTCACTTATATGCACACAATCAAAAGGCAAAAGGAAGGCAATTTGAAACATTCTTCTTATACTTATAAAATGAATAAAAACATATATTACAATTTTATGTTGAACAATAATTATCTTTTAAACAATCTTCAATAAATATTTCAACTGGTCTAGATTAAAATTAGCATCAATATTTAATTTAAACCAAATAATGTAATTTCTCTCCCAATGTAGCACATAAATTTTTCATTTTGCACTTCAAATTTTAAGTAATATTTTTAGTTTAAAAATTATATTAAACAGTTCAAAATTTCATTTCTCTTTAGGAACTCCCATGTCTGTTGGTACCTTAGAAGAAATCATTGATGATAACCATGCAATTGTTTCCACATCAGTAGGTAGTGAACATTATGTTAGCATTTTGTCCTTTGTTGACAAGGATCAACTTGAACCAGGATGTTCAGTACTACTGAACCATAAGGTAAGTGATTTTTTGGTATAAAGATTCAACTATCTAAGACCACTATAAATAATTATATGCATTACATGCTTTTGTTGGTTCTTAGATTAATTATTATAAAAATTTTAAGCAAGATACACAATTTATATTTATAAACTTTGACTAATATCAAAAATGCAACACATTTAATTTTTTTTTATAGATGAATAAAATGTAATATTGTTATTATTATGTTAGAACTGAAGGCCACTTTGAAAAATCAAATCACAACAATTGTCAATTACTGTTACAAGAATTTTATAAATTTTGAAGTCACATGGTATTTGTGTGACTTGAAAAGGGGCAAAAGTAAGATTATTGATTAAAACATATGTTTAATTATTGTTAGATTTTTCAATTCAGGAAAGTAAATCTCATAAATTTCATATTTATTACAATTATCAGGGGTATAGTGTAAGTGGGTGCTCATAATAAGGTGCTGACCCTCGCTCTGACCACAGGATTGTACCATAATTGATCAATAGGTAAAATAAGATACCCTAAGGAATAAGGTTAGAAGATATAAAACTACAGGTTTAGTAGTTTTATGTGACATTAATATTGTTTATTCTTTTAGGTGCATGCAGTTGTAGGTGTTTTAGGGGATGATACTGACCCAATGGTAACAGTAATGAAGCTTGAAAAAGCTCCTCAAGAAACCTACGCTGATATTGGTGGTCTGGATACACAGATTCAAGAAATTAAAGAATCTGTTGAATTACCTCTTACCCATCCTGAGTATTATGAAGAAATGGGTATTAAGCCACCTAAAGGTGTTATCCTTTATGGCCCTCCAGGTACTGGAAAAACTCTTCTGGCAAAAGCTGTGGCTAACCAGACATCTGCAACATTTTTGAGAGTTGTTGGTTCAGAACTCATACAAAAATATTTGGTAAGCATAACAACTTTTGCTCTTTTTTTAAGATATGTTTAAGATTTTACTGATGATTCTATATTTTTAAGAGTTTATGTTACATGTTAAATTATAGATATAGATATATGTAGAAATTAAATCAGATACAATGATAACTGTTTTCATATAGTATGGCTAAAATAGGGCAATTATCAGCAAGTGTGAGAAATGTGTATACTTGAGAGGACTGCTTTCATAACACCAATACCACAGACTCAATAACAATCAGAATGCCCACTCTCAGATGCGGCTTTTGAAGTTTGTCAGCACGTAATCGCCGTATTTTAAACACATAGACTCGAATTGAGAAATTCGTGACAAGCTATGACAGAACTGTAATTTAAATTTTTAGAGATTAATAATTTAGTACATTTGAAATAATTTAATCTATTCTTTAAATAATATTACGAATAAAATAGTGCATATTATGTCTATAGTTGCCATAAATAAATTAAACCTATGCACACCAGATAAAATGTCACTGAACAGCACTGGTTCCGTTTAAAACATGGCAGATTCCGTCTGCGCGAACGAGATGCGCGTACTTATTTTTTCAAGCAGAGTGGGCATTCTGATTGTTTATTATTCTGTGTCAATACCATGAGCTATGGGTGATTCGCATTATAAAAGTGTGAAATATGGAAAATAATGATTGCCAATCATTGAAGTTCAACATTGCAAATATGGACAAAACAAGATAAAGATTTTTCACTCGTTGTCATTTTCAGCTGTCCACAGTCTTTTTTGCTAAACAGTGTCATTGCTCATATAAGAACACATATGTATTGAATATAGCAAAATAGCCTTTATAATTTTTTATTGTTAATAAAGAAATTTTAATTAAAACTGTGTATTTTATATTTTTTCTTTTTTTTTAGGGTGATGGACCTAAACTAGTCAGAGAATTATTTAGGGTAGCTGAAGAGCATGCTCCTTCCATTGTATTTATAGATGAAATTGATGCTGTTGGTACTAAGAGGTATGATTCTAATTCTGGTGGTGAAAGGGAAATTCAGAGAACTATGTTAGAGTTATTGAATCAGTTAGATGGATTTGATTCAAGGGGTGATGTAAAGGTATGCAACTTTTACTTTACTTGATTTACCATAAAACCATTCAATCATGATTATTACTGTAATAATATACTTTATTACTATATGCCCCAAGTACAAAGCATCAAACATAAAAGAGTATTGTCACTGGTCACAATTAATTTTTAACCTAATACCTAAGTGGTTTAATTTAGTAGTTAGCCATATTTGCAAGTCATGCCAATGTTCGTTCTTTTCTTCTGTGCAAAGTGTGGGTTAAATAGCTAAAATAAAACCACAAATTAAATAAAACTCTAGATGGTTTGTTAAACATTTGTTGATATTAAACCAAAAAAAGTTTGGTAAATAGTTAACCAAACTTAAAAGAAATAATAATATGCAATTTTGAAGAAACTGTTGAAAAGCTTGCAATTGAGGTAAAACTGGAAGGGAAACAAAGTTAATGTAGATTTTTCATATAATACACCAACTATATCAATTCAATTATCTATATTACAATCTCAGAATGTGTAAGAATAATAGAAGAAAATAAATTGGAACAATGTTATAAAAGTTAATTATATGTTACTCTACCATGTTAATATACTCCGCCAAAAAAGTATCGCATCACTTATAAAATTACAAATATTTCTGATACCATTTGGTTGATTTAAATTATTTCTTTCTGGCCCTTGGGAATATTAAGGCTAGAATGAATATTAAAAAAAAGTTTGTAAATACAGCTTACTATTTAAGAAAAAAAAATGTTAATTGCTATTTTGTCTGGTTTTATATTATCAGTTTTTATCTTACTTTTGTAAAATGTATACAGTTTGCGTTTAATTTAAAATTTCGTATTAAATATTGAGTATGGAAGGTCGTGATAATATAAATTTAAATTTGACGGGAGATCAAGTTGTTAGAGTAATTTCAATTTCCCTCATTGAAGACAGAAGGAGTCAGAGATATGTGGCAAATTTAGTGGGCATTAATCAGTCAACATTATCACGAGTGGTAGTAAGGTACCGAGAGACTGGTCTTTATGAAAGACGAGCTGTAACAGGTCGGTCAAGAGCGACTACGCATGTGGACAACAGATTTTTAGTCTTCAGGCTTTGCGTCGAAGACATGTGACTGCAAGTCAACTTCAACATAACTTAGCTGAAACTCGAAATGTACATGTGTCTTTAAAAACTGTTAGGCACATCTTAAAATAATCTGGAATTAGGGCCAGAGTTGCTGCCACTGACCCGAGACTTACATAGGAGCACCGTATAGCACGTCTTACATTTGCAAGAGAGCACATAAACTGAAATATCGACGACTGGGGTAACATACTCTTTAGGGATGAGTCAAGATTTTGTTTAGACACTTCGGATCGAAGAATAGCAGTTTATATACGAGATGGGGAGCGTTATTTTCAATACAACCTAAGACCGGCGACAAACTTTGGAGGAGGATCTATTATGCTCTGGGGCGGAATATCTCTTAGGGGCCAAACCGAATTGGTACAGTTAGATGGAGGATCCTTAACTGCTGATAGATACATTAGAGAAATTTTGGAGATGCGTGTTGTTCCTTACGCCCCATTTATTGGTAATGCCTTTGTTTTAATGCATGACAATGCACACTCACACGTCGCAAGAATCGTTACCAAGTATCTTCAAGAGCTAAATTTACAAGTTTTAAATTGGTCAGCGCACAGCCCGGACTTAAATCCAATAGAACATGTTTGGAACCATATGTATAGAAGGGTGAGATCTGGTAGTGTAACGCCAGCTAATCTTCAGGACCTGTAACAGTTGTTAACCTTAGAATGGGATAAGATCGATCAAGATTATCTAAGAAGATTGATTGGAAGTATGCCACAACGTTGTCTAGATGTTATAAGAGCTCAAGAAGGCAATACGTCTTACTAAATTATCATTACTTTTGATTTTTATTTTTTTTAATCAATGCTGTTTGTGCGCTTACTTCTAATTTACGAAATAAATTAAATAAAACCTTTGTTTTTTCGTACATTCTGCATTTTTTCTTTTAATACTTGTTACGTACTTAATAAAAATAACAAGAGTAAAAAATCCATCTTTTAAATTATTTTTAATACAATATTTGCAGTTTCATAGGTGATGCGATTCTTTTTTGGCGGAGTGTATATATGAAGAAGAAACATATTTAATTAAGTAAAGGTATATAGATCAGAATATTAATTGCATAAATTGTCTATCTCACTGTAAAATTTTATGTTTTTAATTACTCATTTAGAAGAATGTATTTTCTTCTAATTTAATGTAAAGGAGAATATTATCTTCTATTTAATTTTTAGGTTATAATGGCTACCAACCGTATAGAAACTCTAGATCCTGCTCTTATCAGACCTGGTCGTATCGATAGAAAAATCGAATTCCCCCTCCCTGATGAAAAGACAAAGAAACGCATTTTCAACATTCACACTTCTAGGATGACCTTGGCTGAAGATGTCAACTTACAGGAGCTCATAATGGCAAAGGATGATCTTTCAGGAGCGGACATTAAGGTAATTATATCTAAAAAAAAACTCGAACATAGAAGTAAAACACTTCTTTTGCAATTGTCATATTTAATTAAAAATTAAATTTAAATAGTCCAAAAAAGATCAAGTTCAGAACGTTTTCGGACTAGTCAGTCCATCTTCAGTGAACCTAAAAGCAAGTAATCCCACTAAATTAATAAAAACGTAGGATAAAATTTTGAATATTATATGCAAAAATGTGGTTAATTACTTTGTAGTACTTGCAAAATAACCTAAAAGTCAAACTTCTTGAACACATCTTCTACTGCAAGATTAAATAATATATCTGGAATCAATCCTTGCCTTATTAATTCCTTTTAATATGGTCCAGAGTTCTATGGAATCGAATGGCTTATTGTAATCTGCAAATGCCAAATAAAGAGGTTCATTGTATTCGTTACACTTAGTAGTACACGCTACACAAGTAGGTAATATTTGAAATAATTTTATTCACTCTGTAACGCTATCGCCCTCTATTGTGTCGGGTATTTTATTCTTGGATGGTAAATTCCTATAGAAATCGTGGAAATTTTTATCAACGTAGGGTATAAGGTCAATAAGATTTTTTTTCTTTTCTTGACTAATTGGGTTTTCACATGGACGTATTTTCAGACTTGTATGAAAATGGTAAAGTTATATTTTGCGGTAAATTATTACACAGATATCTAATTTTCTGGAATGGTGCGCTTCCGTCTAAATAGTTTTATATTCTACTATTCCAATATCTTGGGAGTAGCGTAACCATTTTTTATCTTTCCAAACAACTTTCTGGCCAGTTTCGTTGACTTTTTTTGGGAAAAGTACTGCTTTAAAAGACCGGAAAACTCGTACAAATTTTCGCTATCCATTTCTTTTACAATGAACGGTTTTTTGTTACCGTAAGTCCGGACCAATGTCTCTTGGATGGTCAATGGAGATTGGATATTTTTTTTTAGATTTTTCTATAATAGAGTGATCGGAGTCACACTCCATGTGAGTGTGACCAGGAACCAGAAACTTATGGTTTATGTAAGATATTCCTGGATTTTCTTTCATCACAATAAAAAAGATTAATTACTATTAAACTGGGAATAAGCCACAATTAAAGATAAAAATACGTTTATTGACGTTTCAATTTCCACTTCGGAAATCGTTCTCAAAATACAAACAGTAAATTAAACAAATTTTGTTTTTTGTTTCATAGTGAAAAATTCTTCTAATAATTGAATTTTATCTGACTCATTTATATTGACAATTCAGACATACATTATGCATTTTAAAGTAGATGACTTTAAAATGATATTGCCAATATTGTTGAGTTGCGCTCCTGGGACGACTTTACTTATAAGATAGTTCATTCGATTACATGAAATCAACTTTAACTTGAGAATATCCATCAGAAAAAAATCATAGCATGTAATTCGTCTTTAAAAAGACAAACACATGACACGATGACAGTAAAATTCCCCTGTTAGTGATTCCACAGTAAATTATGAGGGAAAACCAGGAAAAAACCTCATAATACTATCCCGACATTGTAAGTATTTGTTCGTGAATTTAGTTTACCTTCAACAAACATCAAAATTCTGATTTTATATGTTACGTTATTTAAAAAACATAAATGATGTATCCTCTATATGTTACTGACTTACTAATACTGGTATTTTCTTATTAATAACTTCCTCTTTTAATATTGGTAACCAGATCCTACTACATTCTGCCGAGGAATTTGCGACACAATTGGCCTCATTTAGCATAATTAGAGCCGCTTCTTTGATTTTTCTTTTTTTACCATCCGTTTCTTTTAGGACTACATTTGAATTATTCCATTGAACCCTATGTTCATTATCCCATGCGTGTTTACAGATTTGAGATCTATAAAATTCTTTATTTTTAATATAAGATTGATGTTCACTTATTCTAACATTTAATGGCCTTGATGATTCACCTAAATAAAACTGATCGCATTCACAAGGTATTTTATAAATGCAATTCTTTGTCCTTTCTTGTTCATTGTTAGGTTTGGTTTTGGACAAAATAGATCTCAACGTGTTTGTTGTTTTGAATGTTGTTGAAATGTTGAATTTATTTCCTATCCTTTTAAGTTTTTCTGATAGTCCTTTTATGTACGGTATTGTTATTTTCCTCATATTATTCATTGTGTATGCTGTAGGATCTCGTTCTAAGTTGTTTTGTTCTATTCGATCGATTGTTGAAAATTCCTTATTTATAAACGATAAAGGATAATCATTTTTTAATAAAACATATGTTAACAAATGTTTCTCCTCCAAGAACGAATTTTCATTAGAACAAGTAATTTTGGCTCTATCGTATAAGGATTTAATGATTCCCTTTTTTACATTAATATTGTGATTTGATTTGAAATTTAAATATCTATTGGTGTGTGTTGGTTTTCTATACACCTGAGTCTCATATCCAGTATCGTTCTTAGAGATTAAAACATCCAGGAAAGGTAGCGTGTTATTAAATTTCAAATCAAATCACAATATTAATGTAAAAAAGGGAATCATTAAATCCTTATACGATAGAGCCAAAATTACTTGTTCTAATGAAAATTCGTTCTTGGAGGAGAAACATTTGTTAACATATGTTTTATTAAAAAATGATTATCCTTTATCGTTTATAAATAAGGAATTTTCAACAATCGATCGAATAGAACAAAACAACTTAGAACGAGATCCTACAGCATACACAATGAATAATATGAGGAAAATAACAATACCGTACATAAAAGGACTATCAGAAAAACTTAAAAGGATAGGAAATAAATTCAACATTTCAACAACATTCAAAACAACAAACACGTTGAGATCTATTTTGTCCAAAACCAAACCTAACAATGAACAAGAAAGGACAAAGAATTGCATTTATAAAATACCTTGTGAATGCGATCAGTTTTATTTAGGTGAATCATCAAGGCCATTAAATGTTAGAATAAGTGAACATCAATCTTATATTAAAAATAAAGAATTTGATAGATCTCAAATCTGTAAACACGCATGGGATAATGAACATAGGGTTCAATGGAATAATTCAAATGTAGTCCTAAAAGAAACGGATGGTAAAAAAAGAAAAATCAAAGAAGCGGCTCTAATTATGCTAAATGAGGCCAATTGTGTCGCAAATTCCTCGGCAGAATGTAGTAGGATCTGGTTACCAATATTAAAAGAGGAAGTTATTAATAAGAAAATACCAGTATTAGTAAGTCAGTAACATATAGAGGATACATCATTTATGTTTTTTAAATAACGTAACATATAAAATCAGAATTTTGATGTTTGTTGAAGGTAAACTAAATTCACGAACAAATACTTACAATGTCGGGATAGTATTATGAGGTTTTTTCCTGGTTTTCCCTCATAATTTACTATGGAATCACTAACAGGGAATTTTACTGTCATCATGTCATGTGTTTGTCTTTTTAAAGACGAATTACATGCTATGATTTTTTTCTGACGGATATTCTCAAGTTAAAGTTGATTTCATGTAATCGAATGAACTATCTTATAAGTAAAGTCGTCCCAGGAGCGCAACTCAACAATATTGGCAATATCATTTTAAAGTCATCTACTTTAAAATGCATAATGTATGTCTGAATTGTCAATATAAATGAGTCAGATAAAATTAAATTATTAGAAGAATTTTTCACTATGTAACAAAAAACAAAATTTGTTTAATTTACTGTTTGTATTTTGAGAACGATTTCCGAAGTGGAAATTGAAACGTGAATAAACGTATTTTTATCTTTAATTGTGGCTTATTCCCAGTTTAATAGTAATTAAAAAAGATTACTACAAGATACGAGTTTTTATTCTGTCCCGGGCAAGTGTCAGAATACAGTATGATTTCCTTAATACTATCACTCAAATGGTGAAATGGTGAAATTGAAAGTCCACAATTGCCGCTTGTAGAATGCTACGGATGTTTTTATATCGGGTGTAGGCAAGCACTGCTGGAGATCGAAATTGTAAACAATGTACATGGATCCGTTGCAGATTTTTCTTTATCTCTTCTTTTTGCTTCATAGGCTGCTTCTGCTTCTGTTTGATGAACCTTTAGTTCATCTCGGAATCTCTGTTTATCTTGTTCACTTGAATTTTTTATGACCATGGCGAACTTATCACACGTTGCACAGGTATGCTTCTTTGGTTTTTTAATTTTTATACCAAGACTTCGAAATTAATTTTCATATATTTTTTGTGACACACTTTTTCTTTCTTTTGGTAACCACATCTTATATTCTTCATATATTCTCTGTATAGTGGCTTGGTAAATATCTTCTACTTGACTCTTTTCTTGCATAATGACTCTCGTAGTCGGAATTAAAGTAATATGAGATCTCAATAATTCTATATCTTCTCGAGGGGTTTTATTATATGGTTCTCATTTTCCTCTCAAATCAGAGTGAACAATGCTAGCAATAGAAGTATTCTTATTTTTGATTACGTCTGACACAAACATGTTTGTGACATCAATAGTGGTCATAAAGCACGCCTTACAGATGTTTACATTCTATCCGTTGATGTGAAGGGAGTGAGAATGTGTAATCGTTCGATTTTTATGTTTCTTGACGTCAATCTTCCTTTTCGATACGTTTTTTTCTTTGCTTGATATTAATCCGGCTATATAGGCTACCCTTTTACTATAATCACCAATACCCCACAGCTCTTTAAAAACTTCTTTCTTTTGGTAACGTTAATTCTCTCTTTGCATTTCATTCTACAGTTTGCAAGGTCCTTAAATTGTTTTGCTCTTATCTTTTTGCCTTTGCGTGTAGTGTATTCTATACCAAGATTTCGTAGTCTTTTTATCTCATCGCGAATTGCTCTAGTCTCCCCTTTAATAGCTTTATTCCTCTTTTTTTTTTTTAAACTGTCCGATCTTCTATATTGATTAACTCCACTGCATCGGGTACACATTCGGCTGTTTTGTTAGAGGTAACATCTTCGGCACGTTTTGGGTTTGATACAATTGAATTGTTTTTTCCTCTATCGCAAATCAACTTTCTTTTCTTGAGCGGAACATATTCGTCTTCACTACTGTCTTCGCTGTCGGTTACATTGTAATCCCTGTCTTTATCGGAATCGTCAAGTGGTTTTTCCGAATATGATATGCCAAAGAGAAGACTCGACCTCGTTCTTGTTTCAAGTAATACACCTTCTTTTCTGTTGTTAACTTCAACTGCCTCTGTAATAAGACAACATCTTCTTCTTCGGGTTCCTTCTCCTAGCGGAGGTTGGAAATCATCATCGCTATTTTAACTTTGTTGGCCGCATTTCTGAATAATTCTAATGAGCTGCAGCCGAACCACTCTCTCAAATTTCTTAGCCAGGACATTTTGCGTCGTCCTGGGTTTCCAAGACAACATAAAAATTTCTAATGGTTTTTTTACGTTACTTTTATAAACTACCAACCTGCTAAAAAGGATATCCTTTGTTCTTCTTTTAACGAACCAATTGATTCCGCAACTGAGTCAGTAAAAGAATTAACCGGAACAAGCTCTATAAATAATAACAAGTGTAGCAATAGAATTTTCTTAACATACCAAAGTTTAACTATCGAATAATTTCTTTACTAGTGGGTATGCGGTCAGTGTTTAGGTATAGTAAAAAGCTTGTGACTTTACGTTTGTTTTTTTTTCATCAAATTTCTGAAGATGGTTTGGTATGTAACAAACCGAAAAGTTTAAATTACGGGTTTTTTAGTTTACCTAAGATATTGACCGCTTACCCATAAATAAAAAAGTCGTTTGATAATAAGTTTATGGTTATAACAGTTTCATCAAAAAGCTTTAATATTCAATCGTGATATGGAAAAAACTACGAGCTTACCAGTAAACACAACTTCTGTTTCATCAACATCCACTGGAGTAACATCCCTACGTTTTACTTCCATAGATACAGTTGATGAAACAGTATTTTCAGTCTCTAAGATACGATCTTCTTGTCCTCCTGTAGAAGTAATTAACTTAGTTGACCCTAAAACATTAAACAATAAATAGTTTTAACCTTACGAAGTACCAATTTCTATTTTATTTTAACGTGAAAGTCAATTCTTAAAGACAATCACTTTTATTCCACAGGCAACTTTTCAACGATTTATACTGTCATACTCAGAATGATAAAAAAATGAAGTCTTCTTAAGTCAACAGATTAAAAATGTAAAACGTACCTATTACAAACTAAAATTTGTAACTTAAACTTTTAAATTTTCGTTCGTATTCTTTTAATCAATGTTTTTGTCTAATCCCTTAGTAACAATTTGGTCTCAATCTGTATACCTCCACCTGTTGCTAATTTTATATTTTTAATTTTCAAGACCCAAAGAGATTATTGACGTAAATTAAAAATAAACTCTAAGTAGAATCAATTTTGTTATGGTAAAAAAATTGAAAGTAACAATTACCAACGTATGTAAAATAATTCTGATTTACTATCAACAGGTATCTAGGTATGTATTTAATAACAAACTATGAAATAATATATATTGTCAAAATTAACTTCCCGCGGTCTCTACGGTTTTGCACAGACAAAGGTGAACACCAACGAAATATTATTACGAAGAATATTATTTAAAAAAACACAAAAGTTATATCAACATAGTGAATATAAATTTTTGTTTCGTTTTACGAGCAGAATAACATCGCCCCTCTAGCTATTACAGTTTGTATACCTATACACATACAACCACAAATAGTTTGTACCGCTCTAAGATTATGTTAAACTCTATGTAACTTACCTTAATGATTATTCGTCTCATGTGGTTTATTCACTTTTTCCATAATCAACTGAGTTCTTTTAGAAAACATTTTTCGCAAAAACGTAGATCGAAATATGTAATACTGTCACTACAAGCTGCAATCAGCAATGCACCCACTCAGTATACCTACACGTGTATAATGACAGTTTTTGAGGTTAGAATTACCCTACTATTTAAATGGGAAAACTAATAAAAGTCAAGTTATAATCATGGTCACCATTATTTAATAATTATATATCTCGTGAACACTAGTATAAGTTTACTTATACTTCTGTTTAACTTGGTACGTATTGCGCCAAACAAGTTATATTAAGTTATACTACTTTTCACGTTTATTTAGATACATATTTCCCAGTGATAATAGATTATGTCGACTTAACGTAGTACTCCCAACAATTACGAATAAAAACGGACATATATTATGAGCCACGTTCCTTTACATCGACGTTCTGTATAATACTGACTTATATTACTTTTCCCCAACAAAGTTAACTTACAGACAATGTCAGATATGCACTTATCGTATTTTATATTAAGGTGACTTATACTACTTTTCCCGCCATACCGCCAATTATACCTTTTTTTTTAATTGCAGTATTGCAAAGTATTGCAGGCTTGTAAAACTATCACCCCTAGCTGAAAATTGTAGCAGTAATACTAATTTATGTTAAGCCCTTATGAGTGTCGGTAATCTGTAGTCCGTCGATTCCCTCGGGAGAGAGGGCGTCTGGACCACCAGGATTAACCGCTCTATTCATTGTAGTAGACGACCGAAGAGCGTAGGTTCGGTCAGTGGCCATAGATCACGAGCTATGCCACTGTTGTCTAGGAATAAAAGTAAAAGAACAAAAGAAATACTTTATTGTTATTAAATATGATAAAATACGAGATAAATTGCAAATATGAATAATTAAATCGCAAGTATGAATAATTAAATCTTAATTCCTAAGAATCTGTAAGCAAAAATAGGTAATTATCTCCAGGTCGTTGAACTGGAGGATAACCACGTGTTAGTATTAAGCCTAAGAATCTGAAAGGCAATAATCAATTATTAACACGTATTTTATATGCAAAGTTCAAATTAGTAACTATAGAGAAATCCAGCTGTCAAAAATTTAAGGTTTGGAAAAAGTGGTACAAAGGACCTAAAACCAGCTGGAATCCCTTCAATATAATGCCATTCGGCCAAATCAACAATAAAAAGCAGGTGTAAGTACACTGTGGAAAGTTATAAGCAAGTCGATACGTATAAGAATAAAACAGTAAAATAATACAAGTTATATCCCTGAAAGCAGAAAATAAGCACAATTATATAGCAAATATAGCACAAAAAACACAAGTTATATCTTTATTCAATACTTCCTTTTTAAAGGATATTTTGTGCGTTCAAAGACTAAGTCCTGTAAGTAAGGACTGTAAGTCCGTGTTAATCTAAGTCTTGAGAAAAACTAAGATCAGCTCGGCTACACAACGACGCTTCTGAGCAAATTATCAGCAAATTTCGACTAAGTCGAAATTGCATAAATAAATCGCCCAAAAATGGCCGCCTGGATTTGCGCTCGCAAATCGACAGAGTCCACGCTGGAACTCCGCCAAGACTAAAGATGGTGGAACGTGAGGTTCTGGGTTTAAAGGTGAGTTAAAGATGAGAACGTTAGGTTCTAGGTTTGAGGCTCAGAGACCTGAAACTACCTGAGGATCTCGACTTGCCTAAGAGGCTGGAGTGGCGGACATATCCTGACCCACTCTGATTTCCTGGCCGTCGTGCATTTCTTTTATAGAAGAAAAAGTAGGTCAACCGTAACGGTCTCCAACCGTCACCGATTGCCTATCCAGCACGACGACCAATGCCCAATTTTCTGTATTATCATTGGTTGCAACTCAGGTGCATTTCCACCAATGATAATAGCGAAAATGAGCTACAGAATCCCGAATTATGATTGGCTGCAATTACTGTTGCCATTTGACCAATCACAATTCAGGATGCTGGGCGACATGAGGTCATTCGCATGTAGTTTTTGTGATGGCCACTTAATTCCTATATTTGAGTTCAAACACCAATGAATTCGAACGTCTTTACTTGTAAATGTCAGTTTCCCAAAAGCGAGGATGGCTTCTATAGTCTTCGAGAAGATAATGAAATAAAATATATGCTTCACTAGCAACTAATGGTGACATGTTCACTCAAAGGTTCGTTGAAACTGTGGAGCACACAAGGAGAGGTCGTGTTTCATGTAGAGGAACGCATGTCGTATCCTTTGAAGCAGTTGCAGGAGCACGGAGCGTGAGAAGTTCGCGAACATAGTGGATACCCGCCTTAATATAATTATATAATAAGAAATGACAAATATAACCTGCTGCGAATAATAATTGAAAGGGAAGACCGCAATATCAGAGCTTGGACAGATTTGAACGTTCAGAAATTACTAAGAGCGGCGCAGAAATGGAAGATTTTGAGGTAGTGATCGCAAATCTCTATTATAATAATGGATGCACCAGAAGAAGGATTGAATACAAAGTAGTCATTTTCGAACACATGATATGGCCTCGATTCCTGAACCCAAGCCAAAACTCACGTCCATTTGAGCGAAAAAAAGGCTTCTCTCTCTAGTCGAATCTGCCCCGTCGTAAATTATCTCCGAACGCGTTATAGATTAAAATGACTTGGACAAATATACGATTTTTTTGGTTGTTTTCCTCAAAATAATTTTTCTTGCTGTACTGCTATTGCATAGTTGTAATAACTAATAATAACTTTTTACTTTTTTTAGGCTATTTGTACTGAAGCAGGTCTGATGGCGTTGCGAGAAAGACGAATGAAAGTGATGAATGAAGATTTCAAGAAGTCCAAGGAAAGCGTGCTTTATCGTAAGAAGGAAGGCACTCCAGAGGGACTCTATCTTTAAATACATAGTTTGAGTTGCAATTATACGTTTTATTTAATTTTTTGGTAATAAATAATTTCTAATTATTATTAATTTTTTAACAGTCCCAAAATGCCATCAAAAACCGTTACATCCAATATATGAATTGTGTAGATGCAAAATTCACATTCTCCAAATTTTCATATTTTCAGTTATGTATATCAATTAATTCGTCTTTTAAAGACCAATCGAACCGTGATATTTTGAACCAAAACTCACATTTTAATATCGAAAAACACAACACACTGAAAATGAAGTTCTAAAACAAACAAAACTTCTACTATCAAAAAGATAAAGTTTACCAAGATAACTTTATTCTAAAGTTTACCTCATCTTTTTCTTCAAGTGCCATTTCCGCGGCAGAGGTATATAATCATCATAGCTATTCGGACTTTTAAGGCGGCTGCTCTGAAAAGTTCATTTGAAGTACATTTGTACCACTCTCTCAGGTTGCGCAGCCATGACATTCTACGCCTTTCTATGCTTCTCTATCCTTGGATCTTTCCCTGTATAATCAGTTGGAGCAAGGTGTATTTCTCTCCACGTGTAATATGTCCGAGATATTCCAATTTTCTTGTTTTAATTGTATTTAAAATGTCTATTTCTTTATTCATTCTTCTCAGAACCTCTTTGTGACGTGTTCTGTCCACAATATTTTCAGAATTCGTCTGTACATCCACAGCTCGAATTATTCCAGTTTTTTCATTGATGTCGCATTTAAGGTCCAAGATTCCATTCCATAAAACAAAGTCGAAAAAACATAGCACCTCTCCAACCTAACTCTTAGTTCCAATTTTAAATCCCTTGTACATAGCACTCTTTTCATTCTGTTGAAATTTACTCTAGCCATTTCTATTCTGATTGTGATCTTCTGAATGTAATCATTTGTGGAGTTAATCATTGTTCTAAGATATGCATATACGCATATTTGGTTCCGTTTATTAGGAGATTCTTGTTATCGTTATCTCGAATCTTTGAGTTTTCGATATTCTCATAATTTTTTTCTTCTTGACGTTCATTGTTAGATCGTACTCTTTTCCATGCTCCGTTATTCTGGTCACCAGTCTCCAAAAATCTTTAATATTTTCGGCTAAGATCACAGTGTCATCCGCATATCTAATGTTGTTAATGGGAACTCTATTTACCTTTATTCCAGCTGTTTCACTCTCAAGAGCTTTTTTCAGGATCTCTTCGGAGTAGGCATTAAAAAGAATTGGCGACAATACGCATCCCTGTCTCACTCCACGTCTAATTTCAATTTCTTCTGACATCTGTTCGTTAACACATATGTTTGCTCGCTGTTTATAGTATAAATTTGATAATGACTACTTACTACCTCGATACAAAAGGCAGGTTGGATTTCTACTCCTGAACAAACAACATGGAATGAAAGCAAAAAACTGTTCGTAAAGTGCAAAAAACCTGATCGATGAGAAAAGAAAACTTAGGAAAAAATGGCAAAACACACACGCTCCTATTGACAAACAAAATTTAAACATAATTACCAGAAGACTTAAAAATCTATTAAAAGAAGAGAAAAACAGGGGAATTCAAACTTACTTAGAAAATTTGACTCCGTCCAAAGACACCAATTATTCTCTATGGAAGGCGACGAGAAAGGTAAAAGATCCACAAGACGCCATACCTCCTCAAAAAATGTCAAAGGTAAATGGGCAAGAACAGACACAGAAAAATCTGAGACATTCGCTGAACATCTTTCTACAGTATTTAGTCCATTTAACAGAGTAGTGCCATTAGAACAAGAAGAATCATTTAATTCTTTTCTTGAGGCTCCATATCAAATGGAACTACCAATCACCAAGTTTAATATTAAAGAAGTAAAACAGATAATAAAGAATGAGATACAACCCAATAAGGCTCCGGGATTCGACCTCATAACGGGTAAGATCCTCCAGGAACTAACCAATGACTGTTACAGAATAATCACTATGATCTTCAATGCAATGCTTAGTCTGCATTACTTCCCTCTGCAATGGAAAGTGGCACAGATTATACTCATTCAAAAACCTGGTAAAGATCCAAAAGATGTCAACTCATACCGACCGATTAGTCTACTCCCAGTCATCTCTAAGGTCTTTGAAAAACTTCTGCTACGAAAAATCAAACCAATATTGGACGGAAAGTGTCTCATACCTGACCATCAATTCGGTTTTCGTAACCAACATGGTACAATCGAACAAGTTCACAGACTGTACACAACAATAAGAAGTAGTCTCGAGAACAAGCAATACTGTACTGCAGCCTTTTTAGACGCCTCTCAAGCTTTTGACAAGGTGTGGCATACAGGACTTCTGTACAAATTAAAGAAAAATTTACCTTACCCTTACTTTAAAATGCTTCAATCATACCTTACAGAAAGGAGATATCTGGTAAAATATAGTGAAGCCTATACAAAACTCTACCCCATCCTATCTGGTGTACCTCAGGGTAGTGTGCTCGGACCGATTCTGTACCTGATATATACGGCTGACTTGCCAATAAGCAATAACCTAACGCTTGCAATATTCGCAGATGATACTGCTTTCTTGGGGTCTCATAGCAACCCAATAATAGCATCAGAGAGACTGCAACTACATCTGAACAAAACAAATGAATGGCTTAAACTCTGGAGAATTAGAGTAAACCCCTCAAAATCCACACAAATTACATTCACTCTAAGAAGAGGTACATGTCCACAAGTTAACCTCAATGGACATCCTTTGCCCCAAAAGCATGACGTAAAATACTTAGGTATTCACCTTGACAAACGTCTAACTTGGACCAAACATATATGGACGAAAAGGCTTCAATTGGGAATTTTATACAGAAAACTTTACTGGATGTTGGGAAAAAAACTCACCTATCGATCGACAACAAGCTGCTGATATACAATACAATAATAAAACCCATTTGAACATATGGCTCGCAGCTCTGGGGTTCAGCTAGCAAATCTAATATTATGATAATACAAAGATTTCAATCCAAAACTCTGAGAACAATCGCTAATGCACCTTGGTATATCCAGAATGATGCAATACATAGAGATCTTCAGGTACTAACAGTCTCTGAAGAGTGAAAAAAATCTTCTGAACAATATCAAAACAGGTTGCGGGTGCATCCTAATACCCTGGCACACAATCTTCTCAACAACCAACAAGCGAAGAGATTGAAGCGACATGACCCCTTGGACCTACCTCACCGATCCTGACAGACTAAAGCAGTGGGAGTTATGCCTTCAACAGCACCCAGCCATTGTGATCAGTGCCGCTTTTAGTGCTCGCGTATCAGTGTATGTGCGTATCCTACCGGTAAACAAGCCAATTTGTGTCGTGATGATTTGGTCACTGGACCTTACATCTCTCTGTCATGTAAAGACAGAAAATTTTACTTATTGTTTTCACTGCAAAACAGATTGTAAAAATGTTAAATGTTAATAAAAAAAATGATACTGAGGTCGTTGTAGTCAATCTTTTTGATTTCAGGACATTCATTAATTATTCATGTCGTACTTTATCGAATGCTTTATTATAGTCAATAAAACATGCGCATATATTATCTTGATTGACGTCCAGGAATATTTGTATCAGTATAATAAGTGAAAAAAGAGCTTCACGCGTTCCTAGGCCTTTGCGAAAACCAAATTGTGTATCATTAACGTCCAAATAACAAATCAAGTCCAGTCTGATATATTCGGTTATGGATCATTTTTAGTAGTAACTTTTTTAGCATTGTGAAAAGAGACAGAATGCTGGAAGACCTTTGTAATCTAGGTATACCTGAGAAATACATCAGCCTCATAAAAATGACGTTGCAGGGTTCAAAAGCCGCAGTCAGAGTAGATGGAGAACTGACTCCCCTGTTTAACATCAACATGGGAGTAAGACAGGGAGATGCCCTATCAACCATGCTATTCAACCTAGTTCTTGAGGCAGTCATCAGAAAAACCAATATAACCGGCCATATAAACACCAAATCAGTACAAATTACTGCATATGCAGACGATGTAGCCATCATTAGTAGGAATGAGCCACGACTAATGGAAGTGTTCAAACAAATTGATCCGGAAGCAAGAAAAATAAGGTCTCAAAATAAACGAAGCAAAATGACAGTCAAAGAATAATGACAATGAAAATAATATCACAATAGACAACTATACTATCGAACGAGTGGATGCCTTTACATATCTCGGCACAGAAATCAATCAGAAGAACTCCGTAAGTAGCGAAATTAATGCACGTATTTCCAGCGGGAATCGTACATACTATGCTAATAAAAGATTGATGACATCGAAATTATTAGACAAAAGAACCAAAATGACTATCTACAGAACACTGATTAGACCCGTAGTAACCTATGGATGTGAAACTTGGGTAATGACGAAAAAAGATGAAGCCCAACTCAGGACATTCGAGAGAAAAATACTGAGGAAAGTATATGGCCCGGTACAAGAGGAAGATGGCACATGGAGAATCAGGAGAAACGACGAGGTTAATAAGTTAAATGAAGGTTATGACATTGTAAGATTTGTGAAAAGTAAAAGACTGTCATAGCTGGGACATGTGCAGAGACAAAACGATGCAAAAACAACAAAGAAAATGTTACAATGGAAGCCCATAGGAAGGCGAAAAAAGGAAGACCCAGAACGAGATGGTTGGATGACGTGGAAGACGACCTGAAAACAATGAACATAAGACAATGGAGAAGAAGGGCACAAGAGAGATCTGAATGGAAGGACATAGCCAGACAGGCAAAGACCCATCCAGGGTTATGATGCCAAAAGAAGAAGAACTTTTTTAGCACATAGACATCAAGCTAATGGTGCGGTAATCTCTGCAATACCTTGCGTTTTTCTTTTGAGGAGACAAATAAAAATCGACATTAACTACTCTGGGTAATACGCCTGAACTATAAATTTGGTTCAAGAGTGCCACTAAAACATAAATGTGCTTCTCTTCTAGAATTTTTAGGATTTCTATAGGAAGCATGTCAGGTCCAGGGCTTTCCCACTCTTCGTTGTTTTTAATGAGTGTAATATTTCTTCTTTTGTAATATATGGACCTAGTTCTTCTGATGTAAGTTCTATGTGCTCCAGATCTCTTTTATCATCGAACAGTTCGTCGATATATTCTGCTATCTTTGTACTTTCTCGTCCGTCTATTTTATAGTAGTCCCGTGTCTATCCAGAAATGTTCCAGTGGGATTGTGTTTTCTTAGCCCTGCCAGTTCTTTAATTTTCTTGTGTAGGTTAAACAGATATTTATTTTAAAGGTCTTCGATCTCTTTGCATTTCTCTTCAAAGTATTTTTCTTTTGTGTGCTTTATCATCTTCCTCTAATACCGCTATAATCGGGGACGTCCTCCAACAAGGTGGTCAGACGATATCAAGCGCATTCAGCACAACTGGATTCAGAGTGTTAAAGATAGAATATTTACAGGAGGCAGTCCAGCAGTGAACTCAAAACGGCTGATGATTATGATCATCTTCCTGATCTCGTGGTTTATCTCTCTGTATTTATTGTTGTTTTTGTTTTTAAATTGTCTCCGTTGTTCCATCATATTGAGTATCTCGTCATTCATCCATTCTTCTTTTCTCCTTGCGGAAGTCTTTAATATTTCTTTACAGGGTTCCAGTAGACGTCTGATCCAGTATATGCTTTTACGGCTTTAACAGCATTACAGTATCTTTCATTGATCATATTGTAGTTTATCTGGTTCCTTATACCTCATCAGTCGAAGTTAAAAGAAGACCAACGTGTGGACGGTACAAAAGACAACCTATAGGGACCAAATAAGTTAAATCCATGATACCTGTATGCCTGAACACGTTCATAGTTGTACTCTATGTTTCACGATTTCGAGTAAATGGAATTTTAAAGCTTTTCAGAGAAACCTGTGAGCTTAGTAAAGAAAACAGAGGAGTTGACAGAGTTTCTACTAAAAGTTTTCGTAAAAAAACACGTAATAAATTTTATAAATGGATTCAAATGTTCAGAGATTAATTACTGTGCCAAATACATGGGCAGAAAATATCTGTCTGCTTAGGAAAATGTGCAAAAATTTTTATCAGTTCACTCACAGAAGATCAGAGTGATTTGAAAGTAACACACTGGTACTTTAGGTCAATTTTTAACACGAAGTACAGTCGTGGCTTCGTATTCCCTAGAGTACACATTTGCTCTACTTGTCTATATTTAGATGAACGATTAAAACACGCACAGCAAGCTGATGAAAGGCAAGAGCTCATGACTAAAAAACGTGTTCATAAATTACGTGGTAAGGCTTTTTATGAATCGTTTAAATGCACTGCCCCAAAAATTTAGATTGTTGGTTAACATTTAAATAAAGCAAGTTCAAATATTTTGCTTCATAATTAACATTATCCATGAGTTGGTAGAGCAAAACTCACATTATCTGAATTTAAATCAAATTTACAAATTTAGGCAAACCGTTTCTATTACAACGAAGTTGTTACACCAAAAAACAATGAAGCATGATAGTACCATACCGCCTGAGAATTAATTAACGCCTTAAAACATTCGACAATATTCTGTACGAAAAACGTTTAATCAATTTAATGCTTTCTGATACACAATATTTTTGGTCTTTTGGCTTAAATATACAACGAAGACGGTTTTACGACGCGTGGAAACGCGACGTATGATTGTTCATGAGCGAAACATGGAAACTCAAAGTTGATTCCACAAATTTCCAACGATTGGCTTTGCGATTTGTTTATCGCCATTGCAAAATTCAAAAACACGGGAAATTGCCTTCTTCCTCTTTATAAGCAATTCTGCTTGTTCATTGGCAGATTGATACCTTTATGGATGGTTGTCACTTATTCTTTTGCACGGCCGTCCGATACTTCTACCGATTGGTAATTTATCTCTTGCTATTTTAACCATACGGAGTCTCTCCCATTCTGCCTGAGGTTGTTTTTTTCTGTTTAGTGCCCATTCGTTTATCCATTGTACGTTTTCTTCTAATGTCTCAACTTCTCTTTAGATAGCTCAGCGTATTTCCTGTAATTCTTCTCAGTACTCTCATTTGTGCTGTTCCCAGTAGTCTTTGTGTGGTGGCTGTGTCAGGTCTTGTTTCTGATGTATGTGGTGGCTATGTCAGTCATTATTGGTTTTACACTGACTTCATCTCAGTGTTAATATGTAGGTTTCGCCATATAGTGTTTTAAGTCATCCTGCCCTTCTATTTCCTTTGTAGCGTAATCTCTCACCTCTTTATTCAGGTCTCCTTAGCTGGAAGGAGTAATTCCAAAGTATTTTATTTCCATTACTTGGTTAATACTGATGCCATCGATTTCTATTTTATATCTGATTGGTTATTTGCTGGTTACCGTTGTTTTAGTTTTCTGAGTTGAGATTGTCATGTTAAATTCTTTTGTTTATCTTCAGTTTAACCTTCAGCACGTATTTTCTTAGTTGTTTTTTTCTATTGTCCAAAATTCACCATATATTTCCATTGCTTGTAGAATTGCTTTAATCGAATCTTTGGTGGTTTCTATGTTTGGAAGCGATCTGAGCGACATTGTATTTTTTTGGTTTTACCATTTTGTCAAATGTAGATAACGGTGTTCTAATGATAGCTATGTAGGTACCTATTCATTTGTGGAGTACTACTTTGGCCGAGAGCTGTATTTTGTCTTTGTAGCTTGTCTTTCCGAAAAAAAAACTAAAATCTCAATTTCCCAGTTTTAAAGGGTTTTAATTTAAAATAAACTTTAAAGTAAAATTGTGGCCTATTGCCAACAAAAATGGTAAATTACCTGAAAATTTAATATAAAATTCGAATGTATTTTTTCTTCTATTGAAAAGTGCTTTTATTGGTTTCCTCGTTAGCTTTTTAGACATCCGCAAACCACCCACAACCCGACTAAAATTTTTTTTAATATTATTTTTTTTTAATTCTCTTACTTTTAAAATACTATTAAACGTAATCTACTACCAAATTATTATTGTGAGCATCTCCATTTCTAAAAAAAATTAATATTCTAAAATATAGAGTACTATTATTTCAGTATTTATGTTTTTTTAAAAACTTACTCTCATGTGTATCTTGTATCAGTGAAAAATTATGTTAAAGTAAAGTTCAGATAATTAAAATTTCTATTTAAAAACAGAAAAAAAATATACGTAAAAATATACATATATATATATATATATATATATTATATATAATATATATATATATATATATATATATATATATATATATATTATATATATATATATATATATATATATATATATTATATATATATATATATTATATATATATATATATATATATATTGCAAATTACTTTGATAGAAGGAATAAATTAGTAAAACAAAGATATAAACACTAAAATAATTGTAATTTATTTATATGGTTTTAAATTGAGGGTAATTATTTACTAAGCCGGAACGCCTTAAAAATGCCCAATTTTTTGTGGACTTAGCCGAAAAAGTGAAAACAACCTCAAATTTTAATGTTTTCTTTGCTTTAAACTATTAAAAGTGCCCAAATAATAAAAAAAATCAGAAAAAATACAAAAAAAAAGTATTATGAACCAAAAAAAATTACATAAAAAGCAAAGAAAAGTATATATAAATGTCTTAGTAAAAAAACGTAACTAAAACATATTAAATATCACTATTTTTTACTGTAAAATTATGAAAAAAATGCGTAAAATTGTTTAAAATAATCAAGATTTTTAATATTTCAAAACAATATGGCGGCCATGCGCAAGAAGTTAAATTTTATGTACTTTTGACATTGTTGCCAGTTTTAACATTTAAAATACCTAAAATTTAATGAAAATTACATTTACATTTTAATATTAAAAATGCAAACCAATAAACCAAATCTAACCCAACAAGAAAACATGACAATAAAACTAAACCAACCTAACCTAACCTAACGCTCGTAAAAAAGCAGTAATAAGAATAAAATTTTGTAATATAATTAAAAATCAAATTTTTTATTTTTCATAGGAAAATATGATAATAAACGTAAAAAAACGTAACCAAACCTAACCTGCCCCTTGTAAAAAAGGTATAATTTTCAGTTAAAAGTAGGAATATAATTAAAAATCAATTTTTTTATTTTTCATAAGAAAATATGATAATAAACGTAAAGAAACGTAACCAAACCTAACCTGACCCTTGTAAAAAAGGTATAATTTTCAGTTAAAAGTAGGAATATAATTAAAAATCAAATTTTTTATTTTTCATAAGAAAATATGATAATAAACGTAAAGAAACGTAGCCAAACCTAACCTGACCCTTGTAAAAAGGTATAATTTTCAGTTAAAAGTAGGTAAAGGTAATAATAAAATGTTATTTTAATGTCCAATTTGAAATTAATTAGAAAACATAATTTTGAATAACTATGGCAACACTGGTTAAAATTACCATTTTTGACCATAAGAAACAGTTGTCATTCTTGTCATTTCTTGTTGTTTCATGGTAAATAATGGCCAATAATGGCGGTGGCTTTTAAAAATCGGGCATATTTTAAATGGAAATTACATAAAAAATAACGTCTTGCACCGCATAAAAATCATTGCACAATTATTAGTAAGTGAAGCAGAATTCATTGATATAAATTTCATCTCCGTAAACATGGTTCCGGCTTATTACACTAGTACCAAATTGAGATTCAATATTTATAAAATCAGAAATATGCTTATCTAGGGATATTTTAGTGTTCAATTTAAGGAGGACCTGAGGAGGACAAAAATTATTACCTGGCAACCCTGTGCATATTTCAGATGAAAGCAGGCGTCATACATACGCGCCTGCGGCCTGCGCTTAGTTTATAATTGTCATTTGTCAGAGATCTCTCTCTGATATTATTGTTATTATCAAAGAATATAGACGCTTTATATTCTTTGTTATTATATTAAAACTTAAAACTGATATATAAAATTAAAATTAAACCACCATTATTGTATGTGTATATGTAATTTGTGTACTTATTAATATTAACATTAATATTAATTATTTGTGTAAAATTAATATTGAAATACATAAAATCACGTGTAATCAAATGGAAGTAAAACAAGAAATTAGCGATGAAATGTGTAAAGTAGAAGTAGAGTATAATGACCTGGATACTTCTCTTTTGGATGGTTTTAAATGTGAAATTAAGGAGGAATCCAATAGGCAAAGTACACATGACACATATGATTATTTAGACTTCAAGGAACATCCTATAAACACTAAAATACAACATGGGAATAAATTTAACCCATTTGAAGAAAACCAAAAAACTGAAAAAGGTTAGTAACAATATATTTTCTCGGGACGATTTTCTCGCTGTAAAAAAGAGCTCGCGAGCGTTACCTGGTGGCCAACAGTAAAAAAAATTACATTACTTTTAAAACAGCCTGGGGTACACCTGTACCCCGGGTAGTAATGTAGGGTTAAACTAATAACTTTTAACGGGTTTTTACCCAAATATTTAGTGTCTGAAAACATGTAAACCTAGACACTGATGATGGAATATGGATTCCGAAACCATTTTATTGTTGTGATATAGCCCAATTGGGTTTTTTAATTATATACCTTTTATAAATGATTTTAATAATTTTTTTTTATTATTATAGCTTAAGCTTATTTAAAACATATGAAGATATTGAAACAAGTACTTTTTTGTTCAGGTGTGGCTTGTGACTACAGTGTGTCTACCTGTCCAATTAAATCGACACCAAACGGGAGGTGTTTTTTTAGTTTTATAAAAAAGTTATTCTTTATAAGGTTTTGCATGTTCTAAAACGTAAAATACAATCATCAGATATTAAGATAATTGTTTTCAGTCATATACGCAGTTTGTTAAAAACATGAATTTTATGAAGAGTAAAGTAGCTACCTTTATTTTTAACAATATTGATAGTCATGATTAAGACAATTTTATTCCAATTAAAAACTGCTGTCTATATCATCCATCCAAACTGCAGTTTGTACATACATTAAAGGAAAAATATTATGATAAAAGGTCTGAATTGTGTTTTAATAGAGGTGTCATTTTCTTACAAGCTTACAGCGATTTTCAGTCTAACCAAAAGTAATAGTTAATAAGAAGGTATTAAATTAGAAGGTGGAGTACCTTCCCCTTCTGGTCTAAATTTTCAGAAATATATGATAATAAAACATTGAAAACTTTTAATTAAATTGTTTTGAGAATGATCCTATATATATAGTATAGTATCTGAAACAAATTAAACAGGATAAACTAGAAACTAATTTTTACACAATACATTGTACTGGAAAATATGCCACTTGTAGAAACTGAAATAATTATTAAATTGGTCTAATAATATCATTTTGATGTTTAATTGTTATGACAATTTTTAAAAACAAAATATGCTCAGAAAAAAATATAAATATAAAAATTGTCTTTATACCATTATTATAAAAATATATTTAAGGTAATGGAATCAATAGTTAACAGCTTAAGAAAAAATATATACAAATCTGTCAAAAAAACAGTTATATATTTAAATACTTTTATTAATTATGTCTCAGGATAGTTGTTAATGTTTGTAAAATAAGAAACTAACTGAAAATATTTACAAAATGTAATATTAAACAAAAAATGACATTAATATTTTCAAAATTCCAGTAGTTGACAACTACAGGATCCAGTAATTGACGATATTTTATCAATCCTTCAACTTCAAGCTTTTTTTTAATTCATATTTTAATGGATCTTCAGCACAAGTTAAATTGGGCAATTCTAACTTCTCAAGGATTTGGAAAAAATCAATGAAACTTATGTCCTTCTCATTCAACTTAAATACAGTTTTTGTTTCGTTACAAGCAGTCATACCTACATTCCGTCATTCAACTTTATCATTGTTGCACACTTCTTGTACAACACACACAAATTTATATTCCTTCTTTTTACCTGGAAATGACACAAGAATGTAGTCACCTTTTTTATACACTTGTGTGGAGTTTTGTCCATTATTACGTATATTTTCACTCATTGAGTCTGTATTACGTTCTTCAATTTTAAAATCTAAATTTGTATCTTTTTTGTGTCACACACTTAGAAATAAAGAATTTTCTTTTGTGCGTTTTTCTTTTATTTCCTAGAAGTTGCACTTTTTCTTCTTTTTCTTTTTTATTTTTTCTCATTCTTCTTTTTTTCATTTTCTTTTCTCCTCCCTTAGTTTTTTATTTTCCTCTAGTACTGTTTTTTCCATTTGCTTTTTCTCGTGATATTCCTGCCATTGTTTTGCAGTAATAACTGAAGGTACTTTTTCTTTCTTAGCTCGTTTTAATTGCTTTGACTGTTTGGGCTCAGGCCAAAATAGAGCTCTTTTAAATGGAGATGGAACCACATATGATGATGTTGATGGTTGTCTCAATTGCAGGGCTTCTGTTTAACTTCTTTCTGGTGTAAAATGTTTTACTTGGTGAGTTAACAGGAGATGACAGTGCTTTAAATAACTCATTACCAATATTTGGCTCCTCTAGAGGAACATTAGATTTATAAGGTACTTCAGTTTCTTCCCTCTCATTTGCAATATTTGGGTCCTCTAGAGGTTTCATTTAATTTTTTTTGTTTTTAAATCTCCATTTTTTATTATTTGGGATTTAAGAACATTTAATTCAGACATTTTTGCTTAAAAAAAAAGAACTCCATCCCGTTCATCTCTATTTTTAAATATTGCAATTTTCTCCTCATCAATATTATCTTCTAAGAACTTTAGAACAAATTCTAAAACATTGATTTTTTGACTTGCCGCAGCGTTACAATGGTTGGGTATATCAGATTCATGTACCTCAGTGTTTATTAGGTTAACAGCATTTGGATTCCAAGGAACAAGACCAGATTTTCGAAATGCATTTTAAAGTCCAGTTGGTGTCACTCTTTCTTCCAGTAATTCAGCGAGCAAGGGAAAAAGTAAACCTTTTTTTAACACAGGAGCATCATAATTGGTTAATCTCCACTGCTGAACTTTATTTTTCCAACCATCCTTAAGAGTACTAAACACAGCTACATCCATAGGCTAAATTAGATGAGTGGCATTTGGAAATAAGGCAATCAAAATTATTCCCTTACTTTCACAGACTTTACTTAGATGTAATGTTAAATGAGAAGCATGACCATCTATGAAATGAATTATTGGCAAAGTAATACCGGCATTTAACAACCATGGATAGAAGACTTTTGTGATCTATTCGAAAAATGTCTCTCCAGTCATCCATTCGTTCGTAACGGAAAATATCATTGGAGGTGCCATCGTTCCAGCTGCGTTTCCAGTTATTAAAACTGTAAGGCATTCTTTGTCATCACTGTTGACCTGCTGATATACAGTTTTACCGCCTTTCTTTGCCAAGCCTTTACTACCTTTTGGATTTAGAAAGAATGCAGGCTCATCTCCATTAAACACTCGGGAGGGATCATTCAAAACTTTCTAATACTTATGTTCTGTTACATAAGTTTTAATTTCTTGAAACCAATTTAATATACTTTTCTTAGTTACTGAAGCTCCGCTTATTGTTAAATTTGCAGCAGTCCTTGTAGATACTTCAGGATTTCGTTTCAAAAATCTATGGTACCATTTCCGCCCAGGTCTATTTGGTTTAAAAGAGTTCTTTCTTTTCAGTTCTTGTATTGAGTTTTGAACGCTGGTAAGTAAAGCTTCTTTACCAATTGGAAACCCAGCTTTTGCCATTGTGAAAATCAAAAGGACAATATTTTTTCTTCTTCCTTCGTCAAAATGGAAGCTGGGCCCATTTGTCTAAATTTTGTCACGCTTTTATTAATTCTATTAATTAATGTACTTCTGGGTACTCCATAGTTTTTAGCTGCAGAAGCAACTGATTGACCATTTGAAATCGCAGCTAATGCAGATTCTATTTTCTCTTCTGAATACCGAAACATATTTCCTTTGGTTGGAGGCATCATAAAATATCTTAAATAAAGAAACACTAGTAGTTGACAGTCATATGATCTAGTAAATGACATGCTGTTATCTACTGGTACATATCGAAATATCCCCTTGAGAATATTTTAGAAAAAACAACACGCCTTGAGAAGGCTCGTAAAGCGTTTTTAGGGACAAATAACCTTAACGATCATTTCGCTAGTAGTTGACATGTCAACTACTGGTACATTATACGAATATAAGAACCAGTACATGACCCCAATTACAATACTGAAATAATGAGATAGGTACTTTTAAAGCATATTTTGAGTTTGCTTATAGCTTTCAATATACATTGGGGTCTTACAATAATTTAATACAAACAAATAAACATGCCATATGTTGTGCAAAAAACCTTTTAAACACTTTTCTTTAAAAAATATTAATTTTATCCATAACCCAAAACTGACCAACTGCCATTTGCTGCCATATTGAATTTGCTAAAGGAAGTTTTAATTTGTGGGATGGACAGAT